TAAAATAATTCTTGTGATTTTGATTGGTCATGTCTGTACTTCTAATACAGTTTAAAAAGACTGATAATCTTAAACAAATAACAGAAATATCTGCATGTTATTAGGACAACCATATCTTACCAACACGATCTATAAATTCTTCACCCTCTGACTTCTTCCCCAATACAAAAAAAAAGGCATTTGTGCAGTAGTCAAATACTCTGAAGTCCTGCCCAATGCCTGGAAATTTCTGTTCTAAAAATCTTGAAAATGATCCCACAAATTTGAACTGCACAAGCACACTGAATAATATTGAGCCACAGAAATTGTCCTACTTCCCATCTTATTTGTACATATCTGTGGGATCCTTACAAAATACAGAAGGATCTACCTAGTGGTATCCTTTAACATCTAAGAGTGCACATTTTTGATTACATGTGAATAAAAAAGTAGACAAATTCTCTCTGACTGATGCAAATAGTACAAAATATTACAGAGTGGGGTATAGAATAAAACAACTGCCATGCAGATTCAAACTCCAAATGTAAGAAAAAATAAAGATTTGACTATATCTTGTGCATCATTTTGCAGGAAAGCCCTCAGATGAAGCCTTGTCTTGGAGAATGTTACACAGAAAACAAAAAGAGCAATTTAAAGGTCTTTCATTTAATATCAAACAAATTCCTGCTGTCTTTTGCAACTTAAGAAACCACTGACAAGAATACAATGTGAAACGTTTGTCACTTTACTAAAAGCTACTTGTCTTTGGGAAAATTTCATATTTGTGAGACCTACAAGTCATTTCATGGATAATGGAAGGTAGAAATCATTCTGTTGGGAAGGATGAGCATTTTTCAGCCTCTGTCTGCCCTAATTTGCGCCCTAATAGGTTTAAGCCACCAGCTTAAAATAGTCTGAAATGTTCATCTTGTGTAGTTCATGGCTTTTTGTACCTGAGTAAAGACTAGTACACAAAGCCCATTCTTCTACATCAGATAACACCTGCCCCCACTCTTGCTAAAATAAAAAAAAAACAAACAAAAAACACAACTAAATAAAAAACCACTAAGAAAAAACCTGTAACTTAAACCAAACAATAAACCCCCTCAAAGATTACATCACTTAGTTTGCAAGCAGATCTGAAACTGTATTTTCAAAGCAACTGCACTGAAGTTCTAAAATAACCTGACACAGCCAATACATTTAGTAAAGCAACATAATAACACCTTTCTATGCAGTTCTAACAACACACTTTTTCTCAAAATGACACATATCACCCTGGGTATGAATTTAAATTTTTTTCAGGTTGCTTCTAGAATTCCATTCACTCTTCTGCAATGGCATGCAGGAGGCTACCATGTATAAAGGCATAGATTTCTATGGCAACAGTTTAAATTCTAGGCTATTCTTAGTTTAAGTGTTTTCAGAAATAAAAACAAACCACAAACAACCCTTTTTTAACTAACTAAATAATATATCTCTTTCTTTTCTGACTTTTCTGAAAGAACAGAACTGTCTTTGCTGTGATGATTAAGCAATAAGTAACTTAATGTGATACATACTATGCTTGAAGTTACAAGATTCTTAAGTTAGCAGGAAAAAAATGACCATTTTGACACAGCATGGATATCCTGTAGGCTTACAATGTTAAAAATAATATCATGTCAGTCTTTATCAGAAAATAAAACATTTACTTTTTGGTTATTGTTCTTAATGCAGTAGAACTGAACATATTTAATATAGTTACACTTCACACCTCTTCAAAACATCCTCAATAACCCCTTTTCTTTCTCTTATGTTTCTTTTTTGTTGAGTGCTTTGTTTGATAAAAATAATGATGGAAGTGCTAAACATGTAAATAAGATAAGCATTGTAATTCAAGGCCTGGAAATCATTGCATCATCTCAGAGAGTTGCGTGATCTATGTGTCATAAGGGTAAGTGTCTGCAGAACAGAAGAAAGAATCCTGTGAATGTTAAAATCAGAAAATGTGGAAAACTCCATTTTGTCCTTTCCCCACAACCTAGAAACAAGGTGATAAATACGTGTCTTCAACATTTCAATTGAATTGACATTTCTATTTAGGTATGCCAATGAACTAGCACTTTTGGGAAGCTAAATGAGAAAATTTGCAACTTTATGCTACTTTTCAATGATGACAAATCAAAATTAGATATTTAGCATTATATTCTCTGAAATGCATGCATGCCTGACCTCAGTCAGTGATTTGACACTCTAATTTATTGCATGTTTTATCTTAACTTCTGTTACAGTGCCTCTAACATAATTATTATTCTTTTTAACATGGGATGTATTCTTAATTTTCTCAGGTACACATTTTTGTCACTACAATATCACAAAGAAGGCAGCTAGGCCTAGATAGTCTTCTACAGGTGCACTAGCTTATACTCAAACAGGTTATTTTGGGCTATTTCTAAGCTAAATTTGATTACCTCCCAAGGACAGAAATACTGTCTCACATGTAAGTGTATTTGTTTTTCGTCTCAAACTCTTCAACAGTGGCTCGCACAATGGCAAAGTAGAGCCTCTACTGCCATCACTGTGCCTCACACAGAGTGTCCTGGCAGGACAACCTGTCTAAAGAAGCAGCAAGATGGAATGAAGAAGGGACCTTGAAATAGGAATGGTTTGTATAGTTAAGCAGGCCATGCCATTTTCAGACCTGCACAACCAAACTTCAAGGTATTTTCTAGGAGACTGCAGATTTTTCCACAGTGATCAAGGATTCTGAAGGAATGATGTATTCCTCGTGTTTAATTCTTGATGAATACCTGGAACCAGGTTTCTGCCTCACTTTCAAGAGCGCACCTATTGCAATGTGTATGTATGTCTGTTTTCTCCTCACAGATCCCAAAGGTGAGCATTTTCTATAAAGCAAACCAAATCAGTATTTGAAGTTTAGCAAGTCCCTTACGGTGTTTTACTCTTTAAAAGGATTCTCTGCCTGGAGAAAGCCAGGAGCAATGTGACTGAAATTCTCCATATCTCCACTGGGACTTGAGCTGTGAGTTACAAGTGATTTGCAGAGACTTTCGCCTTTACAGGTTTCACTGAGTTTAGGGGCACTTTCCCGTACAGGAAGGGGATCAAAGGCGAGCTGCCTGAAGTCCAATTGCAGCACTGCGCCGTGGTTTTTTCAGCTTTTAATATCAAAGGGTGGAAGTACCCAGTGCAGGAACGGGAAAATCTCTGAGCGCTAATTCGTTTTTCCCGGTGGCGGCAGCTGTTGGAGCCCGGCTGCCCGCAGCTGCCCCACCGGGCAAGCTGCTCCCGGGCGGGAATTCTGGCCGCGGAAATTCGGCTCCAGCTTAATGAGACCAAGCTGGGCAGAGGCACTTAAAGCAAATTCCCACTAACATCCCTAATATATCTGCAGTGTGTGCAGCAGAGGCGGTGACAGCAGCGGCAGCAGCATGAGATTCACAGTATTAATAAAGGGATTCACCGCCTCGTTAAAAAAAAAAAAAAAAAAAGGAGGAGAAGGGAGGGAGGGAGGGAGAGGGGAGGAGGGGAGGAGGCAGGCAGGAAACTTCTGTGTGTTATTTACATTGGGAAAGAGGGGAAGGAAGGGTGTTTGTGCCTCTGCCTGTGAATGAATGAGAAAGAGGAAGGGAAGGAAAGAAAGGGAGGGAGGGAGGGAGTGAAACACACACAGAGCACTGAAAGGAGGCTCTGTCCCCTAAACCCAAGTAACCCGTTTGCAAGAATTGGATGCTGGAAAAATGGTAAGGACCCGGAGTTGAAAACATTTTCACTTTAATACTGAAAAAATATGCCATTATAAAATCCTCGAATAGAATTAGTAAGTTTCACTTGCTTCCTCAGTTCTGTTTTCCTCAATTTATAGTAAGATTTACAACAGCACAGAATTTTCTACCATTAAACGTAGCAGCCTAAGCGCTAGAGTGACATTAATTGGTCATGCTTAACTGCCTTGGATTTTTTTTTTTTTTTTGTATGTTTACACTGTTACCATAATAGAAATCAAAGGTACTAATTTTTACATTCAGATGGAAAGGCAATACTGATTATGCATATTGAAAAAGAAGAGAGAGAAAACAAAACCAAAGCCTACCCTCCCCACCTCCCCCAAAAAACGAAACACAACCCATTATCAACAAAGCAAATCTCTCTCAGCAAAGTAATTCCCACCTAGACATAAAAATAAAAATTAAAAAAAAAAATCCAATGAGAATATTCATGCAACTATGTCTTAAATAAAATCTTTACAATTTTTTTTTTTCCACGGTAAAAGTACGATCTCTACTGCCTATTGATCACACAAAAAAAAAAAAAAAAACTGGCGAAATGGCACTTTTTATTATTATACTGTATTTTGTATATAGAAGGTTTGATACGAAGGGACTTATCAGGTAAGAGGGATGATGGTGTGAACTAGACGCTGCTTCCAGTCGGGGGCTGGAGCGTCCCTGGGGTGCGTTGTATCCATGCGAGCCATGCAGCACTTTTTTTTTTTTTTTTTTTTTTTTTTTTTGTCCATTTGTCTGTTTGTTTCAGAGCTGGAGTCATTTATTTACATTACATTCATGCCTTCGTGCAACTTTCCACTCCTGCTTTGCCTTCAGGAGGAGGCCAATACCAGTCCTCTGCCCCCCTCGTTTTCCCGGCCCCTTGGAAAGGGGTCGGTCCACAAGAGAAGAGGGCAAAAAAACCAAATCAAACCCCAACACAATTGAACAAAAGCCCAACAAAACCAGGAGCCGTGTTCCGCCCTGCCGGAGCCGAAGGAAGCTGTTCCTTGTCTGTCTGTCGCTGCCCCGGCCGCGCACGGGCGGGAGATGCGCGCTCCGCGCCAGGCTGCGCGGCGCTGCAGGGATGCGCTCCGGCGCCGGGCTCCCCTCGCCGCCCACTGGGCCTCGGCGCTTGCTGGGGGGGTCGTGAGGAAGGGCGTGCGCGTGTCTGTGTGTTTCGCTTCTCACAAAAGGTAGCAGCGGAGGTGCAGAGCTGTCCCCGGCCGGTGCGTGAAGGGCCGGTCCCGGGTGGCGGCCGCCCCCGCCCCGCCCGCCGCCTCAGTCCGACAGGGAGTGGGAGCCGCAGTCGTACACCCTGTGGGCCCCGTCGGCGCTGTAGGGCCCGTTGTGCCAGTAGGACGAGTCGCAGACCGTCTGCAAGGAGTTGATTTCAGATGCAGAGGAGTTGGCGTCCCTCCTCTTGGACCGCTTTCTGTTCCTCAGGATGAAAACCAGCATGCCAACCACTGTGAAGGCAGAGGTCACAAAAACCAGCAGAAGCCCTGGCACTAGCACCGAAATAGAGACCCGGCTGGTCTCCAAGTAGGAGTTGGAGTGAGTACCTGTCTCTGTCAACCCGGTGCTGTTTTTGTTAGTAGAAGTTAATGTGGGCGAGATTTTTAACTGAGGGCAAATCACGTCATTGGAGAGAGATTCAAAATCCTCCTTGAAGAAATCTTCAGGGGACTCACACCTCAGGTCACTCATAATCACCTTGGGGCGCAGCATCTCCGCCCACTGTTTGAAAGGCACGATAGGGCAAGTACAGTCCCATGGGTTGCCGTGCAGATCGATCTGGGTGATGGAGGTGAGCTGGTCCAGCACCCCTGCCACCGGGAGGTACATGAAATAATTGTTGTGTATGCTCAGCTTGGAAAGTGAGACCCCGGCAAACACGTCTACTGGGAGAGACCTCAGCAGGTTGTTGTTGAGGATGAGGACTCTCAGTTTGGGCATCGCATTGAAGGTGCCAGGCATGATCATCTGGATCCCATTAAACTCCACGTTCAGATACTCCAGGTTTTGCAGCCCAGCGAATTTCTCCCGGGACAAGGTGTCTAAGTAGTTGCTATCCATGTAGAGCCATCGGAGATCAAAGAGGTTCTTGAAGGTGTTGTTCTCCACGGTGGCAATGTTGTTGTTGCCCAGATCGAGTAAATTAAGTTTTCTGTAATCCAGAAAGTGTGATTTCCTGATGGTGTGTATTTTGTTGTCTCTCAGAAACAGCTCCTGCACATTGGATGGCTTGGGCTTCAAATCCACCAAGCTGCTCACATTCCTATCATTGCAATTAACCTTTAAACCTGAGCCAGGGATCTGATCACAGCTGCAGATGTGCGGGCAGGAAAAGGTAGACGGTAGCTTGTTCTTCGCACTCACTGTCGACACGGCAGCAGTGGGTTTGGTCTTGATTTGCCAGTTGACAGGAATCTTTGTACCTCCGTTTGGAGCAGATCCTGGTGTGGCAGGGTCTTCTTTGCCATGTATTTTAAAGGGGGTTGGAATGGGACCAGGATCGCAGGTTTCTTCTTCGGCAGGGGGAGCAGCTAGGCTGGAATCTACTCTGTTCTTTTTACACAGCTCCTGCTCTGTGGTCTCATTTAAATCTTTGCCCTGCAACCTAGTGGGAGCTTCACAAATCACTCTGCCGATCAAAGCGTTTTTAGGTATGTTTTCCAGCCATTCTTTCAACGACAGCAGATCGCAAGTGCAGTCCCAGGGGTTATCCTCTAGCAGGATTTCAGCAATGCCTGGGATCTGCTCCAGGACCTCCTCATAAGGCAAGGTTTTAAGACGGTTTCCCCGGAGGTCGAGGTGGGTGATCGGCACATACTGAAACACGTTGGGGGGCAAGGTGCTGATGAGATTGTCATTTAAAATCAGCACCTCTAGCTTGTTTAAGTCCCTAAATGCTCCCGGGTCAATATCCCGCAACAGATTAAAATCTGCCTGGAGGTATTCCAGATCGTCCAGCCCCAAGAAAGTCTGCTTCCTGAACGATTTGATCTTGTTGTTGTTTATGTGCAAGCGTTTCACCAGCTGCAGCCCAAGGAAAGCCCCAGGAACAATCTCATGCAAACCGTTGTTTTCCATGTGCAAACTGACCGCATTGTAAAAGTTAGCAAACTCATTAGGGAAAAGTCGAGTCAGGGAATTGCCATGCAGGAATAAATGATAAAATTGGGAAGTTGGGGCGGTGAAATGTTGCAGGCTGGTAAATCCCTTTTTCTCACAGTCTACGTGCAAATCCCCTTCTATCTCGTTGCAGGCACAGATCTTCTCTTTGCAAACGTCCCCTGTAACGTTTCCAGCAGCAAAACAAAGAGACGTCTCCAGCAACAGAATCCAAAGCAGCATTTTTAAACCGAGCAATTCATTCCCGATCTCATCACAAAGTAACAGCAACCATCCTCCTCACACGGAAAGCAATTCCAGTTCATTCAGTACATTAAATGTCCGAACCACCAGCAAAAGGGGAAGAAAAAAAAAAAAAAATTGTGTGGGGGGGGAGCAGGGAGGGTCGGCGGAGGGGGGGATGCTTTCTTTTCTCCTCTCTCCCCCCCCCACGCACAACTGCAACAGCCCAGATTCCAGTCAGTAATTATATCCACAAACTATCCAGGCACGTACTGCAAGGCAGGCGGAAAAAAAAAAAAAAAAAAAAAAAAAGTAGAAGGAAAAAAAATCCCCCTCCTAGCTCGCCCTCCCTGACGCCTGCCGGGCAGCTAAGTGGAGGTCTGCCGGCCGGGCTGGCTCACCGGCACGGTGCTGCTGGCCCCCGGCCGCCGCTGCATGTTAGGGAGGCGCGGGCGGGAGCGCGGCGCTGGCCGCGGAGGCTGCGCGCTGCGCGGCTCCGCGCGGACTGACCTTGCCGCGCGGCGGCGGAGCCGCGCTCCTCGCCCGCCGCCCGCCGGGCGCTGTCCAGCGCAGCGGTGCTGAAAGCGCCCGCCCCAGCCTAGGCGCTGCCCGCCGAGCCGCCGGTGCTGCGCCGAGCCTGCCCCCGCTGCTGCGGTGCGCGGCTGCCCATGCCCGCCGGCGGCCGGAGCCTGCCGCGGGGCCGGGGCCGCCCGCCCGCCCGTCCGCCCGCGCCGCGCCTCGCCTCGCCCTGCCGGCCGCGCTGCCTCCCCTCCTCGCTCGCTCGCTCGCTCTTCTTTCCTTTTTCTTCCGCTGCTGCCGAGCCGCACGCTCGCACACACTCACATGCACGCAGAGGGAGAGTTGCTAAGAGGCTCTGCTCGTTTCAACCTGGTGCACACTGAAAGATCTGACACCCTCTGCTGAGCTGCAGTGGCAAAAATCCATCTGCTGAGGGAATGCTGGAGAAGAAAAAAAAATCAATCCACGTACAGGGCAAGCGTTAAAAACGCTGGTATTAAAAGCTGTCGATCTATTTAGATGCGTTCTCCTAAATGGATTATTTAATTTATTTCTTTTCCTCTAAAATGGAAAGTTTAGCATTCCCCTCCTCCCGACCGGTCCTACTGCCCCTGTTCACATGCGCTCACACCTGCACAAGAGGCAGAGGAAGGCTCGTTTGCCTTATTGTATTTCCCAATGACTTGAACAGAATTAGTGTCAGGGTGTCAAGCGAATAGCAATTTGAGGTAATTATTCTGCACGCCATTTTTATCGTTGCTTTAAATGCGTTTCTTCCTCCCCTGCAGTCTAGGGTGTTTTATGCTGGATTTTGTCTCTTGTTGGTGTTCTCTATGCAATGTCGAACCGTGGATTAATGCTCTCTCTATTTTTCATAATTTAGATGATCACAGAGAAGAGGGTAGGTAGGGGGGAGGGGATTGCTGCACTGGTAGCAGTTCACGCTACCTGTTCCCAGGGAGTGTAGTGTCTCCCTTAAGGAGGGCAGGGAAGGGTAGAAACTGACGGTTATTCCTATTCTGTATAAAAATCTAGATGCGTGTATGTCCACGCACATGTATTTCTCTAGGGATGTTCCTTATATACTCTCTGTGGAAATAAAACGCTTGCTTCCCTTGACACCCTCCTTCTCGCCCCTTCCCCCCTCCCCCTTCC